GCTCCGCCCTCTTCCCCACCCAACCCAAACTGGGAGGTGAAGGGTTAATTCTTGGAAGCCCCTTTATCCCCTTACCTGAAAGGGATGGGGCAGGGAACTTCCTGTCCCATTTTCTCCGAGTCTTTCCCCAGGCTGGCCTACGCTGGCTCTGGTCCTGGATCCCACCAAGGACCGCCAAACATCTCGGCCTCAAGAGTAGGTACCTGGACTGGTGAGTTGGAGGGTTGGAATGTAGGTTTACATCTGTGTGAAGAGTGAAAGGGGTTTTCAGACCCTACTGGTGGGTTGGTGGCTAGAACAAAGTCTTAGGAAAATGAGGGAGTCATTCTGTGCTGGAGACGCCAATGCCAGACAGCATGATGCATTTGTGGCCTTGGGGACTTGAGGAAGAGTCATAGCGGTAGCGGCTGCCATGTGTTCCCAGGTGGACTGGTCAGCACCAGGAGGGGTCCACGTCTAAAGAAACCGGGTCAGCAAAATTGAGCAACTATAAGCAGGGAGAAGAGTTATTTCTTGCAGAATACCACTCTGGCCTCAGACTTCTCCAGTGTGAGAGGGTTTTATGGCAGCGCCGACATACAAATTAGACCGGCCAGATTTCGGGTAGTGACTGAGAACTTTATCGCCCCGCACCCAGCTAACCCCCTACAGGGGTGCATATTAATAGGGCTTTTGTCCTGGAGACCTGGGGGGGAGGGACAGACTTTCTAAGGCCAACTTGCCTGAATTCCATCTCTTGGAAACCCATTGGCAAGGCCTCACCTAGAAATTCCAGCAGCTTTTTGTAGCTAGCTTGCTTAGCTGTGACTTGAATTTGGAATTCTGTTAACCATGTTGTGTTACTCCAAGCTAATAGTGGCAAAATCTCATAATGCAGGATGGAACTAATGGGTCCAGGGCCCCATTTCCGTGGTAGTGAGCCTCATAGCTGCGCCAGGTGTAGCTGTGAGTAAACTGTTCTTGGTCCTCTGAACTTGTAAGAGTGAAAGCTTGATTTAGCAAGTGGATTGGAGCTGGATGAAGTGAGCATCAGAACGCTGCCCGGGCTGATTAATGCTTGGTGTGCACGAGTGTCTAGTGCAGGGCAGCTGACCAGAGAGAGTTCATTTTCTTGTCCTTTTTTTTTTTAAAGACTTATTTATGTATATTAATGTTTTGCTTGTATGTACATCTGCACACCAGAAGAGGCCATCAGTTCCCATAAACAGCAGCAAGCTGCCATGTGGGTGCTGGGAATTGAACTCATGACCTCTGGAGAGCAGCCAGTGCTCTTAACCCCGGAGCCATCCCTCCAGCCCCTCTAGTTGTTTTCATTACTTCTCCAAACAGCAAAATGAAATCCTATTTCCTGTGTGTGAGAGAGACTAGGGCTTGGTGTGCAGGCTAGGCAATGCTCTACTTCTAAGATACATCTCCAACACCTTCTTTTGTTTTTCATTGGGGGGGGGGGAAGGCTCTCACTAAATTGCCCGGACCAGCTTTGTACCTCACTCTAGATGGAGTCCAGGCAAGCCTGGAACTTCTTTTTTTTTATTGTTGTTATTTGTTTTTGTTTTTGTTTTTTTTTTCAGATAGGGTTTCTCTGTGGTTTTGGAGGCTGTCCTGGAACTAGCTCTTGTAGACCAGGCTGGTCTCGACCTCACAGAGATCCACCTGTCTCTGCCTCCCGAGAGCTGAGACTAAAGGTGTGCACCACCACTGCCCGACACAAGCCCGGAAGTTTTAATCCTCCTGCCTCAACCCACGCCTGGCTTGATAACCCTCTCCCTTTTCTCTTTGTTTCATTTATTTGTTTGTTTTCTTTCTTTCTTTCTTTTTAAAGATTTATTTATTATGTATACAGTATTCTGCCTGCATGCATGCCTGCAGGCCAAAAGAGAGCACCAGATCTCATGATAGATGGTTGTTAGCCACCATGTGGTTGCTGGGAATTGAACTCAGGACCTCTGGAAGAACAATCAGTGCTCTTAACCTCTGAGCCATCTCTCCAGCCCCTGTATGTTTTCTTTCTTTGTTTGTTGTTTTCTGAGACCTAGTCATATATCAAGCTATTCTCGAATTCCATGTAGCTGAAGATGACCGTGAACTTGCCATCTTTCTGCCTCTGCCTCCCGAGTTCTAGGTTTTGGGGTCCGTCTCACCACCTCTAGTAAATGAGTGCTGCAGATTGAACTCAGGACTTAAGTGTGTGTTTGCTATACCAAAAGAGCTACATCCTAAACCCTACTCCCCTAGTTTTTGAGCGTTTGTCATATATCATATACCCTTTCTGCCCTGAACCTTACTATATTTGCTCTTCAATTCTTAGAGCTTCTGGGTAGCCATTATTATCACTGTTTCATTGCACATGTTCGTCATTGAGTTAAGTCACTTCAAATGCCAGGCGAAGGGATTGCAGTGAACAGTGATTGGGGTGGGTGGTGTGTTTTAGGGTTCCGGAACAGAGGCACCAACACTGGAAGAAGTAATTGCAATAGGAAAAGCACTTAGGGTACGAATGTCTGAAGTGCAGGAAAAAGCCCGGATTGGACAGGCTGTATGGGAGTTAAAGGAGCCAAAGGGCGAACGTTGGCGGGTCAGGGGCTAGGTCTGGGCCATCACTTCAGCACCACATCCCTCTTCTTTCCCACAGCCAGCTTAAAATCAGGGGTTCCTTTGTTCTGTAACAGACCCACACAGTACAGCCCTCCTACGAGGGGATTTAGAGAACTCTCCAACCTGAACACAATCTATACAAATTCAGGGCAGAGGCACTTTCCCTAGCCTGTTAGCCTTGAAAACGTGATATAATCAATAACGATGAAAACAATATCCTCGGGTTGGAGAGATGGCTCAGAGGTTAAGAGCACCGACTGCTTTTCCAGGGGCCCGGAGTTCAATTCCCAGCAACCACATGGTGGCTCACAACCATCCATTATGAGATCTGGTGCCCTCCTCTGGTGTGCAGATATACATGGAAGCAGAATGTTGTATACATAATAAGTAAATCAAATATTAAAAAAGAAAGAAAGAAAACAATATCCTCAAGCCCTGCTCCGAGTATGCCACTGTTATAGAGTGGAAAGTTAGGCCTGAGGGTCTGGGCCCATCCCCCTACTCGGCATTCTCACTGTTAGTTTTGTTCTAAGGAACTTAACTGGTTGACCTGTAGTTCACTAGTAGAGTTATTTGCCTAACATTCCTAAGACTTCTGAGTTCTGGGTTCCATGCCTGACCAGGAAAGAGAAGCTAAAGTCTTCTAAGAAGTGCTGAATGATTTAACTGAACTGGACTGAACTGATTGAGTCCTTAGGACAGGACAGGACAGAACAGGACAGAAGGAGTAGCCAGCCCTCTGGGCTAAAGGGAAAGTTGGGAGGAGGGGCTTGTGCCTGTGGAACTAGTGCCCCCTGGTGCTCGATTATAAACACTTTCCACCGCTAGTGTGAATTGAGTGGCTATCCCTAGTGAGGTGGCAGAGAAAGGGAGAGCAAGAGCTGTAATCCCACTTGCGAGGTGAGGTATGACTGAACTCAAAGCTGGGTGGCAGTACTCTAGTTACTGTCCAGCCCACAGCTCTGTTGCAGTGTATTCAATAAACTATTTAAAAAAAAATAAAAACAAAAAAGGAGGTGGGTATAACTCCTGTAGAACAGTTCCCACTCTCAGGCATTGTTTGTTTGTTTGCTGATTGTGAAGAGCTCAGGTCCCTCTCTGAAGTCCTATGGGGAGGATCTTGTTGAACTGGTTCTCCAAGCTATAGACCTGAAGGGTTTGAAATGAAAAACAGTTTTTTAAAAAGATTTATTTTTACTCTGTATGGATAAATGTTTTTGCATGCATGCATATGTGTGTGTGTGTGCACAACATGCTTGCCTGGTACCCCCAGAAGCCAGGAGGGAGCACTGGTTCCCCTGGGACTGGAGTTACAGGTAATTGTAAACCACCATTTGGATGCTGAGAAAACAACCTTGGTCCTTTACAAGAGCAGCCAATGTTCTTAACCTCTGAAAAGTCTGTCTTTCCAGCCCCAAGAGATAAGGCGGTTTTTTGTTGTTTTTTTTTTTTCCTGTCCTTAATCTCTCTTCCACAATGCTCCATCCCCCTGGTGGCTGCATCAGGAGGAGCAAAGTATAGGTGAAAAGTTAACACCAAGTATCTGTGGATGTAGAGTAGGACAATCATGCAGAACAGTCCCGTTTCTCTCTCTCTCTCTCTCTCTCTCTCTCTCTCTCTCTCTCTC